ATATATAGTTATATATCTATTGGATACACACATACACAGAAACACACACACGCACCCAAACACACACACACACACACACACAACACACACACATATATATATATATATATATGTACACGCACACATACACATGCACACACACACACTCACACACACCCACACACCTACACACACACACATATATATATATATATAGGTGTATGTATGTTTATATATTTTAAATATATATATATATATTCATTTGTATATATTTATATACTTATATTCACACATATAAACTCTTACAAATATGTCAGAAGCATCGAGAGGTGCTGCATTCTGATGGTTCATCTGTATAGAATCCGTACACCATCTTTCAAGCACTTACACCTTACTGAAATTTATAACCTGCCACATAGGATACTCGGTTCTCTATTGGCAACTATGCACTGGGCGAGACGCTGGGCAAGGGTGTGTTCTCCGTAGTGAAAGAGTCTACACATCTGATCACGGGCCAGGTATGTGGTGTTAGGTGCTGGTGCGCTGGGCTTGCATATGTCCAAAACCATCAATATTTTTGGGACACATGTTAGAGGCATTTTGTATGTATATTGGGGCGTGTTGAGTTTTGAAATGGGAATGAAACTATAGGGTTGTCTGAGCTTTGTTTTTCATGATTTTGGATGGAGGGAATCAATAGCCTGTCATGCCACACTCGCCTGTGTTTGATACGTGCTACTGTCTGCTGTAAGGATGTAAACGGTCGTCTCACCCGGAACACTCTTTCAATGTGCAGAAAGTGGCAGTGAAAGTGGTGGATCGGACGAAAGTGAAAGAGAAGGATCTGAAAACTTTGGTCCGGGAGATGCAGGTGTGTGGGTACAAGCATTGGGGGCGTATCTGTATGCCGGATACTGATGATCTACTTGTGTGAGGTAGTTCGTTTAGGCACCCTAGGCTGGTGCATATTCGATTCCTGGGTATTCATCGGTGCACGTATATGGCAGGTCCTCACTTACTTGCATGCAAGCGCCGCAATCTATCTGCTTGTCTGAACGAAATTCAGTGTGACAATTGTTTTCATAACAATGCTGAGGTCAAGGGTACTGCGAATTGGGGCATTATTTACTTTGCTTTATACAATTCGAGACAGAGTCGACGGATTTTGGTTTCTGTATCGAGCTAAGTAACATACGACATTGCGCTCGTTGTTCTCGGGAGAGATTCCTATTCTGCCTCTAAAACCTTCTTCTACTCCTACTCCTTCCCACGCCCCGAATCATAATGTCCCAGGTTATGAAATTGCTGACACACAACAACATCGCAAAGCTCTACGAGATAATTGACACAGCGGAGGCCTTTTATTTGGCAAGTGGTGGTCGTTCAAATCCGCGTTCACTAATAACGGGTGCTATTTTTTGATGATATGTTCTTCTTGCGAATCCTACGCTGTTAAGATTTTTTTCTTGTTGCGGTCGTTGTTGTGCCAATATAAAAGAAAAACTGAGTGTGGGAGAGCTGGCGAGGGACATTGGTAACTAGGATTATTCATGCCATGCATCCATTGTCCTGCTTGTTATTAGGTCTTGGAGCTGGTCCAGGGAGACACCATGCACGCATACCTCAAAGAAAATGGGACGGTGACTGAGACCTTAGCTGCTGACTGGACACGGCAACTGGCATCCGGGGTACAATACTGTCACTCCCGGGTATGTTTCGCACATATGCGAGCGTGTGGTATATTTTTTAATGGTTCATGCGTGTTCGTGTATTGAGATACATGCATGTGTGTGCCGATTTCTGACTGTGATCGAGAATGGCTTGATTTCAACGTAGTCATTAAGCTGGTTAGTAGTCTACCTACCTCTTATAGTGCAATACTTACTTTCCAATACGCCTGTGGTGGTGTCACTTGCAAAGCTAAACGCCTAGGACTCACGTTTCAGGATTAATCTGAGTGTGCACTGCACTTGCCTGCGTGCCCCTGCGGAATAACTCGATACTTAAGAGCCCCACTTCTTGACTGTAACCTTTTTCCTCTGTATAGCACGTTGTACACAGGGATATCAAATTAAACAACATCATGGTCGATCCTACCGGAAGGGTCAAACTCATCGATTTCGGGTTGAGCAGAGAATTCGAGGCAAAGAAAATAGAGGTAGGTGGCACGGTCGTTTTGTAAAGGGTGATCTAGTAACGGACATGGGCGTTGTATTATTATATAATTTTGGATCGATATCAATGTTGAGTGTTATGGTGATTTCGACTTGTAGTGTCAGAAAGCTTTTTTAATGTGTATTTTGATGAATTTCTGGAGTTCATGTCTTAGAGGTGAGGGTTGGGAGTGTTGATATTGTGTATAAGTCCGATCGCATGCATGCCATCGTCAAACTAGCCATGTACACAGCGCATTTGTATATATAATTCAAGGTCCGAGTTCATGTGATTATCGACGAACACCACATGATACTTGCTCACTGATCCAACTGTATATCTTTCTATTGTTTGCATTCAATTGGTGTCTCTCAGCATAGTTATCTCGTCATTCTTCTCTTATACACCATCCCAATAGACGCACTGTGGTACCCCCGTATACGCCGCCCCCGAGCTTTTCCGGTCGGGCGGATACTTTGGACCGGCGGTTGATATGTGGGCCATTGGTGTGGTGCTACACGCGTGTGTGAGTGGCAGGTTACCCTTCAAAGGCGACAATTTCAGAAAGCGTATCCAAGGTATGCTGTGTTCGCTGGGGCGGAAAGTGTATGTAATGCACACAGGCGAGTGGATGCTCGTTATTCTGAACTTCTCAGCCGTGTGTCATTGATCGGAAAACGAGCGTGTAAGCCCATGTGTTGGTGCGAGGCAGTTGGAGGTACGTCATTCCACAGCTGAGGATCATCAACACATCTTCTCTTGTCACACGTTTGCTGATATTGCCGTATAACCCCTTTCCCTTGCCACACGTTTGCCGTATGCTCCCATAACATACAGAGGGTGACTACGAGGTCCCGAAATACTTCTCTGTCAAGCTCAAGAACACCATTGCGTCACTGTTGGAAGTCAATCCGAAGAAGCGCGCAACTGCCACGGATCTGTTGAAGTGTCCGTGGATAATGCAGAACGAGAAGACCATCGCACCCATCGAAGTGGTACCCTTCGAGGATGCGATAGACATCGACTGCGTCAAGGCAATGCGCAAGGTGTGTTTACTCTATGTTTAAACTAGGCGTGTTTACACTATGTCTAATCTAAGTGTGTATAAGCGATGTTTAAACTAGGTGTATTTACACGATGCTTAAACCAGGTGTGTTTTAGGTGTGTTTACGGTGTGTTTAAACTAGGTCTATGGCGAGCTAGACACGGGTCTGCAGTTCGGTGCGGAAGACATATCGCGAGCTCGTTGTGTCTGCAAGGTGTTCCGTACTCCCCCCGTCCCAGGTGTGAGAATAGTCCCATGATCCTGTAGAGCAGAAAGAGGTCTTTTGCTCTGATACAGAGATACAGTGTCGCTGTTTCCGTGCTTACGATGTGTCTTGCGCCACTTCTGTTTGAAAATCGTGACCATATTCAGTACTGGGCCTAAAGTATACCTGCCTATTACCCTTTCTTCCAGAAATCATTTTCTTCTCTCGGCTCCAATTAAAATCGACACCCTTCCCTCCACCCTCTTACGTCAACAGCTCGGCTTTGAGGAACAGGAGGTGCTCTCATCTGTACAGAACGACATGTACGACCACACCGCCGCCACATACTACCTACTCAAGGCCCACAAGGGCAAAGACTTTGATCTCGAACCGTTGCTAGTCCAGTTGCCGCCCAGCGCTCAGTCACACTCTCGCCCGCGCCAAATAAATAGTCCCGGATTAGTCGTTGTCCCGCCCATGGGTGGGTCGAGCAGTGCGCAGCATAGCCCAGGTAGTTGGCGTGGCGTTGTATTGTGGGTCGAAGGTTGCAAGCGGTTGCAGATGGAAGAGATTGTTATATTTATATGTATATATATATC